CCCCAAAACCCCAAAACCCCAAAACCCCAAAACCCCAGTACCACAATTATATATTGATAGGTTTAGAAACAAGCTATGAATAGTCTGGTTTTCTATTATGGACAGTTGCTCCTAAAGTATTCCGCTACTCATGTATTTGGATCTGGCCTGAGTCTTTGTATGGCAGGTTTGAAATTTACTCTTATTCCTCACTCCCTTTAAGAATTTAGGCTCTGTTGAGTTAGACCTGCTTTCTTGAGTAATATTGTAAGCACTTGAGATATCCCTCATCCTGGGTGTTGAATTAGCATCGCACTCTTCATGTTGTTTAAATGACTGAGATCTCTTATTTTTTGAGTGTAGCTTCTGGGCAAGATTGACGACCCTTTGCGAGATTTGTGGCTTAAAGGAAGTGTTGATTCGTTGCTTCTGGATTTGTCCTTTGCAAATACTTTTCACAGTCTTTGGACCGCTAGAAGAAATCAGGCTTCTCTTCTGAGAAACGGATGCTGAAAGGTTTTTCAGTCTGGATGATACCCTAATGGGGGCTAGCTTCCTTCCACAAGAGAATCTCTTGATCCTATGGTTTAGGGATGGTCTTACTTCATTCATCTAGTCTGGATGGTCCTGTTCAGATCTTTGTAGACCTCATTTTTGTTCTCTTGCCTATAATTTTCAGTAACGGATAATTAAAGAATCTTGCAATTTGAGATGAAACAAAAGTTTTGGCTTATTTGTACGAAATTTTTTCGATAACTATATAGGAGAAATGTAGGGTAAGCTTGGAAAGAAGACAAAGTCTTGATAAAGCAGCTTACTTTTTCTCAAATCCTTTATGGATGTACCAAATGTCAGTCAGAGGCTTCTTTCTTTTCTGCTCAACATGAAACTTTGTGTTTTCAATGAAGATATTTTTATATGCTGTGATTGACATCATTGAGGGCCTGCGTTGCCTGACACTCCCTCTAGGACTTACTTCAAGTTTATTCAGGTTCTTCAGAGTCAGAGCTGGAACACGAGTTCAACTGTTGTTCTTCTCCTCACTAGAAGAAATTGATGAGCTGATTGAACTTTTTGAATCGCTCCTGGTTAGTTTTAAGTTATTCAAAATATTGCGCTTATCATCTCCTCCTGGCAGGATACTTGGGAGCTGCCTCCTCTTTACATCAGCATTTTTCTTGAATGAACTGATCTTGTTGCTACTCTGCATCTTCTATATCAAAACGGTCATAACTTCACATTTAGGAGATGATAAACTGTCTCTTTCCTCACTTAAAATGACCAATATTGTATTTATTTGTCAAATCACAAATAAAAACAGCTATCGAAAATGGAGGATCAAGCATAATTCAAGGCCTGATGTGTTAAAGTTCCATCATTTTGAACTTACCAGGTCTTCGAAATACACATTCTTCTTGCTTCTTGCGGTTCCAGCTACAAGGAAATATATCAGGCTTAACCTTGACCATTTTTAATAACCAGGATTGTACTCCCAAAGGAATGTGAATAACTTACCATCAGAGTTAGTCTTGTGTACTTGAATATTATACGATATCTTTTTCCTAGGCTTGATTCTCCTCTTCTTCGGCTTTTTCTTTCTTTTCGCCTCTTCTAATTCCTAAACAGTTATTGGTTGCCATCTGTACCTTCTCTTTCTTAATGCTCTCGATTATATTCTGGGCTTTACTAGTTACTGGATATTTCTTAATGAATTCGACGAAAGGCCCCCAGCCAGTCCGTTTGCCAGGGCTGTCTTCTTCATCAAAATACATGTGCTCTGCGTAGCCAAAGTCTGGGATTGACGGCTTTAGAATGCTTCCAAGGTTTGATGATAAATCTCGTTTCCAGTCAGGAATCTCTTTATGGACTTCTTCAACTATATAATTGTTAAGAAAGGGTAATAGTATGAAGTAAATAGAAAGACTTACCTTTGGGCTCAATTTTTTGTAATGGGCGTGATTTCGATTTCTTCTTTTTCTTGGTATTTTTGTTTTTAAATAACCTGAACATCGCCTTTTTAGCTTCTTCAATGTAGAAGTTCATCTGGGTATCTTTTTTGACGAATCCATTCTTCTTCATAACTGTAGAAAATCTCGCTGGAGACTGAGATGTCTTCGGACTTGACATACCTTCACTCCCAATATCCTTACTATTAGCTTTAGAGGGTTCCATTTATAATTCAATATTCCTTCAGGTATTTGGGGTTTTGGGGTTTTGGGGTTTTGGGGTTTTGGGG